GCGGCAGTGGCGGCAGCCCATAAATATTCACAACAGTCTTGGCATCGGCATAAATTGAATTGGCGCATTAGATTGCAATAATTGTCGCAGTCTTTCTGCGTCTGCTTCTATGTGTTCAGCGCCAGCAACAAACCCAGTGCATGCTCTTGCCCCGCACCCACGTGACGGGCTCCATCGGTGTCCCTCGTGTATCCATGTGGATGTTGCAACGCCGCTGCCGCGAACAAAAAATGGACCCCAGAATTCTGACTTGGACTTGGACGTTGAAGCCATCAAATGCGGTTTTCAGTAACAAATCAAAGTATCAACAACAGAAATGCATGCGGAACTCCGAGGCAGAAGTGGAAAAACACAGCCAAGCTGCCGCCCATGTGATTGCAGCTCCATTACAGCCAGGCGAGTGTCTGTCACGACACCAAACTTTGAAACTTAAACCCCTCAGTGGCAAACAGTCCCGGGAGGCTTTCGTACATGGGGGCATCAGGATTTGCCCACCAAGCCACTTCACCGTCGCACACAGTCTTGGAACAGTGTCCGTGAAATCGCAGCATAAAGCCGACTTAGGCACGGACCGGGAAGTCTCAAAAGCTGCTTCCAATGCTGGCCAGTCCGACAGCCTTATCATAGTCTGAGCCGAAACTCAGAATTGAATTTCGTCGCATGTTAGTCCGGGAAGTGCACCGATCTGATCGAAGAAGGCAAAGATCTCGCCTGCAGTCAGCCACTCGGCACGGTGAATAAAAAGTCAAAGCAGCGGCTTGCTCTCAAACAGTGAAGCCAACCGTGCAGCAGTTCACCAAGTTCTCACCGCTTCTCAGTCGCAAGCCAGGATGTCCTTCGAAGAGCAGGGCTTCTGGGCACACAGGCTCGATATAGAATGCGACGGGCTGCCTGCAGATTCGTTGCCATGCTACAAATCGACTCTGGAACACGCATGTTTCTTGGACATTCTCTCGCGTGCCCTCGCCGCAAGCAGAAGTAAGCCAAGGCAGAGGAGAAGGATCAGAAGATGCGGATCCTCAGCAACACATCACGGCATCTGTCAGCCAACCTGTAAGTCTTCTGATGCTGAGATGCCAGCCATTTGGATCGAGAAACATCCCTAGCAGACCGGCCTGGCGCAGGGTGGGATTGCACTCAAACATGCTGCTGTAAATTGAAGATCAGTCATGAGATTCCACCGAGGCACCATGACATCATCCGTCACCTGCCAGGTCTAGTTGAAAGTGATGACCTGTCTTCCAACTTTAACTTTTCAGAAGTCGCTACGAAGAGCTTGAAGTCAGCGAGCGATGTCTCTGTGCCTCCATGAAGCACGGTCGTTTTGGCTCTGCCAGGCTCGCTCTGGCACTCATGGCGATAGGAGCTTCTGCGAGGCTGCGGTATGCAAAGAAACAGCGGAAACTCGCACGGCAAACTCAAAAAGTGCCACAATATGAAACAGCATAAGAAGACGATTTCCGGAGTTTGCGCTCGAGCTACGACATGTTCTGTCGCCGCTGGCTGCGACAGCTCCGAGACTCTCTGGTTTGCCCAAGCTGCCCATTGAATCTGAAACCGGTGCAGGCCGAGACCAGACTGTCTGCTCCGTGCTCGCCGCAAGGAGAACCGAGCCGGCACAGCGTAGCCGCGCGGCAGAGCCAGTGGCTTTGCGGAGTGCGCCGAAATCCGCCGAACTCGACTCTTGGAGTCTTCCGCGTTCTGCCGCTTCTGACACTTGTCACGACTTCGCCTCCTGTCACGTCTCACGTTTTGTTCCTTGGGCCGTCAAGGTGAAAACGAGACCGTGAAGGGCATTGTTCTAAGAGGCCCTGGCGATGCCGGATTCCACAGATTGGTGCCTTACCAGCTGTTGGAATGCAAACTATGGGCACTACAATAGTAACAGACCGAAAAAGGCAAAAACAAGTTTTTGTCGGTCTGCTCACCGTCTGAGTCCGGTGCGTATCTCTGCATTCTCTTGAATGTTGGTTGTTGCTCGCCCTCCTTGTGTAACCTCACGCTGTGACGGCTTGGCAACAGGGCAGGAACAGCCTAGGCAGACTGAGCGCTACGCAGTTGTAGCAACAAGTGAGCGACTGCTCACATAGTATGTGCCCTGAACAGGTGCATGCCGCAAGACTGCACAAACCTTGCCGTCGACATTATTCTTGCAGACCCTTCAATGCACGAAACAACGATCGGAAGTGCAACGGCCTCAGTCCCAAAAAGGTTCATTTCGAGCACGAATCTTCCGAGCCACAAAGCTAGCAACCTGGCATTGCCATGCAAAAGCCATTCGGCTGCAGACAGGGCCCCGGGCGGTCCGGGTCACAATCTGCCGGTTTTGCAGAGACAGGACCTGTCCAAAGGAATTGCCTGTGCTCGCGACAGGACAAGTGAATCGGGGGGCGGGTGTCGTGCAATTTCGCCAGGCATGGACGGAGGGGTCTTATGAAGCTTTCTACGAAATACAAGCGGACCAGCCTGAGCGGTCAAGCACATGAGCTGATTCGCAAAAGGCACCAAGTTCAATTCCCACAGCTGCCTTTTTGAAGCACCGTCAGTTTTTAAACTAAGATTGGCTGGTTTTGGAGCCGTACAAAATAAGAAGTTTGGGTTCAGCAATCCAGGGCACTCCGGAAAGGTTTTCTTTGGATTAACAACTACATGCACTCCAAACTTGAGAAATCGAGGGTACCCATCAGCTACAAATATCTGCTTCCTACACGGCGCTGTCTCTGTAGGTGGAAGAACCCATTGAGTGCGAAGCTGCCCTTTGTTCAGTCTCGTGGCTATGATCTGCCACCGCAGAACTAGTTGCAGCGCACAGGCACTCACTAAACCAGTCCATGCGACTATTCTCTATGCAACCAGAAAATCAATGCTCGAAAGGGTCCGGGACATCCCACACAGGCCCATTGCAATGAACGCTCAGCCGGCACTGTTCCAGCGGACAGAATGTGGGACGTGAGATAGCTCAGCAAGAGACACAAAAACAGTGCGAAATGTGTATCAAGTTAGAACCTGCAGAGTCAAGTGGTACAACATCGACTTTTGCGGCCGGAACCAACAAAACAGACCCTTGGCTTTGTGGTTGGGTTGTGTTCTGCCCTGCAACTCCTTCCACATTTCATGAGCTTAGGATACAAGAACTCGGCGTTGTGAAATAAGACAAGCACGGCGCGGCTCTCTTGAATGCGTACATCCCGGAACACACAGGGCCCAGCAGTGCACGAGCCATTTATGCCGCTCCTCCGACACGCTCTAGAAAGTCTTTCCTTGTGAGAATTCCGCAAAGCTTGCAACCACTTCGGACAACGGGCAAATGCCTCAACCCCATGGTTCGAAACAGCACATAGGCACGGCGGACAGTAGCAGTGTCCTCAATGGTGTAGGCTCCGGCATTTATGTACGGGTTCAGATCCACTTCTGTCTGTGGCCCAATGCCAAGCAAAGAACTTCCGCGCGGAGGCATAGCTTCGGATTGGTCCAGAGGGCAGCTAACTCTCTGCAACAGCTTCAACAAAGCTGAACGGCTCAGCATTCCGCAGTACTGCGATGTACCTGGTTCTATCACGGGGAAAGCATTGTGTGACGTCTCCAAGATACGCTCCAAGCGAGTCACGCTTTCTACGCTGTCGACAGTTGCAACATCGGCAGTCATTATGCGGGACACCAGGGCATTGCTCACATGTGCGGCATCCGCAGGTAAGAATGGGATGTGCTTTAGCTGTATATGGATATCATAAATCCCTTCGTTGAAAAGATTCCCGACGCTGCGAGCAACAATGACTGCAAAAAGAATCGGCAGGCTGTACTGCGTGTTCCCCGTAGCCTCAATCAGAATGACGCCCAACGACACCGTGATACGTGCCATTCCCGCCAATGTCGCTCCTGCACCCACAAGTGCATACATTCCCGGTGGTGCGACTCTGCTACTGAGCAGCTGAAGACTTTGTCCAACGAGGCGCCCAAGCACGGCACCAACGAGGAGAGAAGGCACAAAGAGCCCACTTGGAACGCCGAGGCCGTAGGTCCAACAAGCCAGCAGAAAATAGATTATCCCGAAGAGGCTGAGCAGTCCAGGGTCATACATACGCGGATCATGAAACAAGACTTTTATGGCATCCTCGCTGGGCGTCACAAACAGACCGAGGCCGGTTTGGCCAGCTGAGGTGTCCTTGCAAATTAAGTCAAGCTCACCAGGCTTGTGGGTTCCATGCTCCACACCTGTGACGTAGCACTTCTGTGAGAGCATTGCGGGGACGAAGAACACTGCAGCGATGCAAGCAGATGCCAGCAGCACTTCCAGAAACCGAGTCCAACCTGAAGCCCCGACTCGGCGTATTCGCCACAGTGTTAATGGAATGTTCAGCGCATTGAAGCCGGCCCCGACGAGGCCACCAAGAAGTCCCAGAGTCACAAAGAACGGCAGCTCCCAAATGTGATAGCTCGTCTTTGCACCTTCGAAATAATCACCGAAGGTGAGGACTCCAAGTGCACCAAGCGTGCCAAATCCAATCGAGTCGAAGCCCCCTAAAAAAAAGTTCAAGGTCAGGGCAGACGCAGACGAGGAAAGCAAAGCCTGCAGAAGGACCTTTGCGTTCCAAAATGATGAGCCCTCCTCCAAGGCAAAGAGCATTCCACCTATCGGAGCACCAAAAGCAGCGGCCACTCCTCGGAAGGGCAAAGAGCATGCTAATGTCAGCGCTCACTTCGAAGTATCTGAGAAACCGATGCAGCATGGCCTCACCTAACGTCTCCGCTATGCAAGATTAGCTCAACCTAGTAACCGTCACTGGCCCTTCAGAGCAAGACCCTCTTGAACCACGCCTGCTGCACCACCGGCTGTAATCAAATCTCGTAGTTCAATGTCACGGAGCATGTTGGACCCCAAGACAACGTACTGTGAGAACAATGCCCCGATAATTGCACCGCTGTGAATCATGGGACCCTCCTTGCCACAAGGGAGCCCCGCAGAAACACTGAAAAGGACTCCGCAGGCCTTCGCCAGAAGTGTTCGTGATTTCACAACAAGAGGTAAATCTATCCCGTTCAACCGACATTTGACTTCAGGAATGCCACTGCCAGCTGCCAGAGGTGACACAAAACAGACCAGAGCTCCAGCTATAGAAGCAAGGCAGGTGCAGAACAGGACATGAATAAGTATCAGCAGCCACGGCCTTGTCCCTGCTTTGACCAGGTCTTCCATTATGCCGAATCGGAATTTTGTAAAGAATTCAATGCCATAGTCAATTGCAGATGCCACCAAGCCAGTGACAATCCCTATCAGCACCACTGCTACCCACTTCGCTACAATCCGACATGCGGATGTCTGCCTGCTGTCCGATGCGCTTTCATAAACGTCGAAATCGATTGATTCCACCGTTGGCCTTGCTCCTGTTGGTTGCGGTGCCAATGCCATAGTCAATTTAGGTCGTCCCTGTGGTGGTGGGCTGGTGGCATGGCGAAACACCTTCGCGCATCCAGGTTTGGGCGTTGCGTAAATGGCTGAATACGCACAGCGGACATATGCACAGGTCAACACAACAGCAGTCGGCCACTCCCGTCCGCAGCCAAAGGCAGAAGGCTGCCATTTCCCGATGCGGTAAACTTTCAAGCAACACTATAATTAGCCCCGAAGAAACACTCATGGTAATAGCAAGGGAAGCAACGACGATGGTGATGATGATCATGGCCTTTGCCTGAACTTCATGCAGCCATGAAAACAAATACCAAGTCAACCAGCCTTCGTCTTCTTGACTTCGGCGGATGTCCACAGCCGGCTTGCGAGGTCCAGGTTTGGAACGACCACCTCGCTTGCAGACTTCCGAATATCCTATGCGCGACGTACAGAGCAGAGCACGTGAGTATTAAATGAGCGTTACATCGGTTAAAGTGACTTACACTGAGTTGCTGTGGGTGGCCTTGAAGACGTCCGAGTCCTCTTGCACGTGCGTTGCCACCTGTCGCAACCAGCACAATCATCAGACAGCTGGGTGATGCAGTGGCCTTTTGTGACCTTTCTGCAGGCTCCGGAGCACGGTCAATGACTCCACATGGTGTGCAAAACGGCAGTACTCTGACTGATTTGTTCTGTCAATGCGATGTATTAGGCACGCCTCTAGCAACAACTTACGTGCGCTTGTGCAGGCCCACAGGGGGAGTGCAACTCAGCAGGATGCAGGTCCAACACCGGCCACATGGAGAAGTCCTTCTCGAAAGAACCAAACGTGGTCGTTTTTCGAAGACCAGGAATGCATATCGGCGCAAAGTTAGTTGCTAGTTTTACCTGTCCGTGTTCATTGTGTGCCGGTGTCTGGTTGAGGCTGCCGGCCTGGCTTGACCGGGTGCCTGTTCTGACATGCCCGCCGAATTTTTTGTGACGATCAGGCGCAAGCTTACATGGCAACACTTGGACCAGCAGTTTACAACACCATCCTGGCACGTTCAACCTGAGGACTCGTGCGCTGCCTGTGTCCTAGCGCCCTGCGTGGCCGTCGTGGTCCCGCAAGCATGGCACAAGCTGTAAGCGTCGTCCCCGTGGCAGCTCGTCGATGCACAAGGGCAACTGTTCCAAGCGAGAATCGATCCGGTATGTGCTGGGCCAAGTCGAGATTGGATTGTGTGGAAGACAAGATACAACATGAGCGCAGCGCCGTACCGGCGCAATTCTTATCAGGAAATCATTGGTCTCGAGCACGTGCTCTCGCCTGGGGCAATTGAGCATAGTTGAGCGCTGCCGGTGTTTCGGCCCGGGCGAAAACCTCCTACCGTTGCCTGCCATTTCTAGTGCTTCCGCTGTCGACCGCACGGTTGTGCGCTTCCACATCCATCCGTGCGCTACTTCGATGGTGCTCTACCCACCGCCGGCTGGATAAGAAACTTGCACTCCTGGCTGTCCCCACCCCTGGCTGGCAAAGTATGCATGCTGGCACCTGGGTGTTTGCACGTGTTAGTTCAAACAGACTCGAGAAGGTTGGAAACGATTGACCAACCGGGCCATTCCATCAACTCCAACTGGTTGCGAAGCTCTTCAAACCCACAGGAAAGGGCCAGGTCTCAGGTCGGCAAGTTTAAGATCAGTGCCGAGACGGAACTGCCACGGTGCCTGCCTCCAAAGGGAGCTATTGCAGAGAGCACCCATGACACAAGCAAAGCCAGATGCTCAGCCAAACCAGGCTCCAACCCAGCACGGAAAATGTCATCCCGCAACCTTCAAGTGTAAGTACCATGCCTTCAGCCAGCAGTCCGAGTGCCTGTGCACGAAAAGCTGATTGCAGGTGAGAGGATAGGAATGTTGAAAGCAAGGCTCTCACTGGATCGTTGTCCGAGACATTTCGACGGACGCACCGAACCTTGGAGATTCGCGTGTTCCTGCAAAGACTGTTGCAGATGGCTGCGCTCAACAAAGACTTCGGATCCTGCGAGCCTCAAGTGCCATGTGCTCGTTAGGCTCTCTCGCTCTGGGCCGGTTGAAACATGCCGGGGGGGGTGAAAGCAACACCTGGCAGGAGGACATCTATCCGACATCCACGTCCGCGAGAAAACTTGCCGTCTAGAGTCCAGCCAGGACTTTAGATTTGACATGACCAGCCTGGCAGAAGGCAAGCACGAACGGCCTCGCAGTGTCATTCCGAGGCTAGGCACTCGTACACATCCGCATGGCTCGCGCATACCCGCCTGGGGCTGGTTCTGTGAAGACCATTGATTGGCACGAAACGGATCTCTCTGAATGCCGGAATCAGCAGCAAGCCCGGTGCCAAAGAATGCTGAAAATGATATGCTCACTGCCTCTGCAAACTGCTCTGCTCTGAAAGCGAGGCCGGCCCGGCGAAGTGATAGTTCTTATTTAAGCGAATTGCTGCTCACAGGGGTTTTCGCATTCGGAGGAGTCCGTCGACGCCTTTTTGCACTTGGTTGTGCTTCGGTCACGCAGGGCGCTGGAGTTCCACAGCGCACTAGGAATTTGCAGGGCTGGGAGAGATGACTCACTTGACCTGCACGCTTCAAGGAAAAGAGATCCCAAAGTTCTGGAATCATGACAAGCCTCCTCCTTTTCCTTCTTTGCTTCATCCTTTTTGTCTTTGTCCTTCCCGTGCCGACGACATGTGTCTGACATGCAGAACTGAGATGTTATAAGTGGTGGTTGCAATCCTTTGGCTCCGCAGCTTTTTCCTGCCAAATTAGCACTTCCGAGCATTGGTTGAAGGTGAGGTTTGAGGTTCGCCTTGCCTTCTGCTGCTTGTTCCTCATCTTGTTGTTGATCAGGTTGTGGAGCGCAACAGTCGATCGAAGCATGCTGCCAAGGTACAACGCCAACCTGAGCAATTTGACATTGACCTCTGCTTCTCGCCTCGCGTGCCACTGCTTCCAGCTCTAGTTTGAGGTCCGGACATCATGTCGTTTGTTTCGGTCGCCAGAGATCTGACTAGTTCTTCGGAGTCCTGACATCTTGACAGCATGCTATTTGCTGATTGCTCCGAGCAGCTGTTCACCTTGGCTGTCGGGTTCCGGCTTAGTACCTGTAACCCTGAGCATTTGCGCCTGATCCGGCATCAGATTGAAAATCTCCTGCAGTTGGTAAATGATTTCCTGCAGGCAGCAGGGACAGCTTGAACTCTCGAGTCGAGAGACACATGCCAGCCACAGCCAGTCTCCTGGTTCATGGGCAACTTTCCAGCTACCACTTGGCTCAGGTACTGTGAGATCTCGCGAAGTCGCATGGCCAAACCCTGGCAGCTCCACTGCTTGGAAGGGGCCGCGGGCCTCCTGCCTATGCATTAGCCGCAGCTGTGCCTTCAGGGCGCCGATCTTGTCACCCACGCGTACAGCCAGAGTAGAAGCCGACCTAATCGACAGAACGCGATGCATAGGTGAACACAGAGTGTTAGAGCCTGCCAGAGTAGCCCAAGTCCAAGGTCTTCACGCATTCTTTATATCACGCAGAAGGTGCTCGACGCCAACTTCTTCAGCCTGCCGCATGACGAAGCCATAAACCATGGGACCATGTACATGAAGATATCCGGTGGCCTCGAAGGCACCGACGGTAGAGTGCACATGCAGAAACGTCCGCTTGAACACCTTTCCAATTTTGCCGCCCTTGTCATCACTTTTTGTTGGCTCCACTTGTCGCAGGTCACAGCCTGTCACGCTAGCAAGACCGTAGCGCCTCATCCGAGGTCTGCTCTTGGACGGAGTAGTAGGCTTCCATGGGCAGCTCCAAGTCCTGAGAAGGTCTCTCTCTAAGTTCCCCGTCCCCCTTCTCTCCCTTAGGCCTTGCCTTGGGCTGCACATCCATAACCACCAGCACCGGCTCGGGGCAGTACCTGGCTGGTGCGCTTGCATGACTTCTGCTGATTCTTGGAAGGTCGGTTGGTCGCGCACCGTCGATAGAGCTCATGGATGCTGAGGTCAGAGGGCTTAATCTTGGGTCCTGTTGAGTACCAGCCCACGATTCGCTCTTTGGTGTTCACCTTGAACAGGTTGTCTGTGTGAGAGGGCCCATGCAAAGCGTCATTGCTATGAAGCAGGTTCGGAGGCCTTTTTGAACATTGCGAACATGGTTTCATGATAGTTGTGATCCAGAAACCACACCTCCGGCACGAGGCAAATGAATGTGAAAGAAAGGTGGAAGATGTGATGAGAGCAACCAAGCCTGTGGGTCGCGCGGATCTTCCTCAAAAGGTACTGCAAAGCAGTTGGTAATGTGAAGGCTGTAGTCCGACACCTTTCGAGGCAGCTTCCAGTATGCTCTCAGGCGATCCGACACCTGCAATTCTTTTCGGAAGGGGTTCCTCGGACTTCGGAGCTCTCAGATTGCACACCCTGACTCGCTCGCTCCGCCTCACCCACCAGCGTTCCAACCACTCGCTTGGTTGTGCCCTTTGCAACCTCGCATGCTTCAGAGGGCCAAGCTGTTGGAAGACTACAATACTGGACTAGTGAATAAGTTGTTGAATGTCCATGAGACTCGATTGTAGTGGTCCACCACGCCAAGCAAGACAATGGGGTGCACCACCACATCACGCCTGTCCTGAATGTCATGCTGCGAGATTGACGGTCTGATATGATATGCCGGTACATGGCACCAAGAAGTTGGAGCACTTGGATAATGCGGAGCCTGCCTTTTTGACTTCTTTCAGCTTCTCGCCATCCTTCTTTTCATCCTTCTCATCCTCTTGAACACGCGTGTCAACAGATGTTGGTAACGCCCTAGCATGCGCACCTTGCTGTCCTTTTTGTCTTCTGCCATGTGGGCGCACACCGTGCGAAGGCTATTTGGAGAGAAGGCAACACACTTTGATCAACAATCCGAGCGGAAGTAGTAACAGCACATGCGCAGGATGAATTCGCCAAAATCTCGCGAAATCTCTTACACGTATGCTCACAGAGCACGCGAGTTTTGCTGGCAACGCGCCTGTTCACGACTCGGAGCTCGAAGTATGGGTCTTGCTCTAAGCTGTAAGCATTTTCACTCTCCGGCTGGCTGCCCGCCAATACCTTTCATCACACCCTTAGCCTCGACTAAAGCTCCAACCTCATCGTCGAAGGATGTCTGCCTCAATTGGAAGTTCTTCAGCAAGAAATCACAATCGGAGTGTAGCGTTCCAGCAGCTGATATTAATGCTTTCGCAGCGGATTCGATGTTGGCTTGATCTGTGGCGGCATCTGCCAAATCGCCCTGAGCCCACGCACAGACCCCATGCATGCAAGAAGAGCAAACCTCGACAAGCCCCAGGAAAGGAGGAAAGTGCCTGAGCTTTCGTGATGGCAGCCTTCTTGCCTTCGACCTGGTCGGCTGGACGCAAAGAGGGGCTCGAACATCATCGAAGCTGCTTGTAGCAGCCGTAGATTCTTCTAGGACATTGAGTGCGAAGTGCCGCCAACACGCTGCGGCCTCTGTACAAGATCTCTTGAGACTTTAATCCAGTTTGGTCGGCTTAGAATCAACAGAAGCTTGAGGGGACGGATGGTGCGTTGCTGCAGTACGACAGTTGACTTGGGTCTCGCACATTCTCGCACCACGAGTCACTTTGGTTGCGAATCTCACACACGCTCCGATCTGCGCTGTAAAGATGACCTCAATGTGTCTAAACTGACTCTTGCCGGCTGTAAGGCCTCCTTCGTTTTCGATGCAACGCTGGCAGTGGTTTCCTTGGCGAGCTTCTCATAATCTGCTTGTGCTGCATTTTCGTCTTTGATCGCCTGCTTCTCGGCAGCCTGGAGATTTCAAAGCTGAAATTCACGAGTGTTTGCCCATGACGCCTGCCTCAGCTTGCTCGCTGATGTGCTGCAACATCGCCATGACACCTTTGGATCCGGCGTTCTTCTTGTAGGCACCAAAGCCTTGCGGAGCAGACGGGTCCAGTGCGTCGGAGACATCTGCCTCTTTGCTCTCCTTCAAGGATCGGATTTGTTTTCAGTGCAAACAAAAATCTACCTGCCAGGTCTGGAGTCCGGTCCTCCGAGGTATCTGAAAGCTCAAGGAGGGAAGCTTTGCTGTAATAGTCCGAGAGCACTTTTAGGGCGCCCTTCAACAGCTTTTGTGTCTCACGCTGGTCGTCCACACCAGTCTGGAAAGCCTTGTTTTGTTCCTCACGTTCTTGAGCTGCCTTAGCCAGCTCCGTGTTCAGCGCGTCGATTTCTTCTAGAATCTCGTCCTTCTCCGCAGAGGCCTTCTTGATCTTTTCCTCAAGCGTTTCCAGCAGAATGCCGACATCTTCCTTCTTGCGCTCCTGCTTCTCTTGCTGAAGCTTGTTATCGGCGAGCTGATCTTTGCAGAAGTCCCTCTTCTTCATCTCACTGCCCTTCTTTTTCTTTAGTTCCGATATCCTTAATTTGGGAGCTCAGTAGGCAGACAACGCCGATGCATGATACTGCTTAAGTTGTTTTGAAAGTCCAAGAAGCATGTCGTCGATGGCCTTGAACACTTCCGCCAAACTGTCCACCCTGGCCCTGAGGGCCAAAGCAGATAAATGAGGGTCGTTGAAGCGATGCGTGACCCGGAGGAAGTTGGACAGGGCGGAACTCGACTCGGCACTCAACGGATGGGAGTGTTGGTCCTGCTGCAGGAAGCTCAACCCTTTTTTCTCAAGTTTGTCGCGGCCGTCCGTCAGAACTTGGGTTGCTTGTCCAATCGCCTTGACTTCTTCTCTGCGCGATTTCTGCCTGGCATCCCATTCAGCATCATTGTTCGCACACTTTTGCTTGACGGACTGAAGGAAGTCTTGATCCTCCTTCAATGCCTTTTCTGATTCCGTCTTGTCTTTCTTGTCATGAGCCAGCTTCTCGTCGACAGTTGCCTTCTCCTTCTCTTTGACTCTTATCTGCCCTGCACTAGTCTCAATTTCCTCTGACTTGGCTGTCTGGAGCTTCTGGAAGGCTTCTTTGTTGCCCTGCTCTTCGTCTGAGATTTCTTTGAGGTTCTGCTCGAAAGTCTCCAACATCTGCGAAAGCATGCCGAATATTTCGCCTGCACTTTGACCCGGCTTGAGCAACTGGAGCAAGTCTGCTTCTTTCATGTCCCGCAGGCCAAGTAGCCCAGCTTGCTCAATCTGCTGAGGGTCTGCCCACCTTCACCAAACATGAATTCGGCACATGTCCGAACGACCCCAGCTCCTAAATTTTCTAAAGCGGTATTTGGGAATCGAGCCTGCGGCTCTTGGAGAGCATTTGGCGCAATGCAGACTTGACCTGCGAGGCTTTACTTGCTACCTGCAGGAAGGATGTCGCGCGAGGGGCGTCCTTCTTGTTCAACAAATTCACGGCCTTCCTCACAGCTGCAATGGAATCCTTCAAATCACCAGATTCGGCCTCAAACTCCCCACTCTGCTTCTTGCGTATCGCCGAAGCCTGTTCCAAAGCTTGCTTGTTCTTCTCCTCTTCCTTCTTGAGGCTCTCTATCTCTGGCTGCAGCCGTGCAGAAAGAGCAACTCCCTGCTCGATCTCCGCCGAAAGCGATTCTATTCGAGCTCCCCCTTCATCAATGGCCTTTTGCTTGGCTTTTTGCGTTTCTGTGCACCAGCATACCTGAGAATGTCACACCTTGCAAGGTCCAACATCCCCTGCTTTGCTCAGAGCCGGACCATCTTGTCATAGATGTCTTCGTCCTTTTTCGCATCAACTTCCAACTGCTTTGCCATGTCCTGTGAAGGCGGTTGATCCGCCATGTCTCAGAAAGGAGACTAACAGTTTAACAGGAAGAAGGGCTCTCCTGCAAGAGAGTCACCACCTTGGTGACAGGATCCTTCTTCGAATCCACTCGCAAAGATGCGAGACATTGCAAAGGTGCCCAGATCGAGAATAATCTCCATGATAACATGGCGCAACTACGTTTCAAGCACACCTGATGGCGTGAGCCATGAGGCTGATGCAGACAAAAACCCTGCTCTGCATGACCCGAACATACCCGGACTCTGCAAAGACAGCGGAGTCAATTTTGCACACGAGATTGGTCATAGGCCGGGAGTCATTTGAGAGAGCCACTCTGACCTCACCCGCTCCCACCGATATCCGCAGATTTCGGAAGTTCGCAGGTCCCGATCTGAGGCTCCTGCTCGATGTCCTTCAACGTTTTGTTCTTCAGCTTTATGTTGAGAGCGGTCTTGATCAGCCTGGCGTGCGATCTTATGAACTCCTACGGCGACCTTTCTTCTATGCCAGCCAGACATTTCAGAGTCCACCGCGCTAGGTGCCTGACATCAAGAGTTGGGGTTGAGAAGGTCTTATGGAATGCACGATGTGACGGCGCAAGCCTGTTTCAGAGTCTGCAGGATTTGCTCAAAGGACTGGTGAAGGAGAGCGTCTTGGTTCAGCCTGGTGGAGTTCGTGCAAAAGGCCTGCCAAGCGTCCAGTCAGATCCTCAGGACTGGGCTTCAGCAGCGCCAATGCAATGCGGAAAATAATCTTCACCTCACGTGCCGAATTCGGGCAAGTTTCCTACGATGGCGCTCTGTGACCTTGCCAGGAACCTCACTCCCTCTGCGAGGAAAATGTCCCAAACACGCACAACCGTCGAGAAAGGAAAGTTGTAAATGCAAACCTCGGCTGCAGTTTTCGGCTCGGGATTACCAGCCTGACTGCTCTCAGGCTCTGGCAGTCATGAACCATTGAGAGGCATACATGGTCGGCTCAACACCTGGTAGTGTGCACCAGCGCTGTTCCAAGGTGCGTTCCCGCTTGCCTTGCTCGGCTAGGTGCTCGTACAGCTGAGGCCTTCGGCACTGTGCAGAGAGCCGCTCTACGGCGCGACAAGACGCAGGGAAGCACAACACGCAACCGCAACCTCAAAGAACTTGCGGGGACTTCGGTAGCTTTCTCTTCGTTTGCATGTTGAGGTTTTCGACACCGCTTGATCTTGCAGGGGATCTACTCAGCTGCAAAGCTGCGAGAAGCTGCGAGATTTGGCGTGCCGTGGCAGTGACACGGTTCAGGCCCTCCCAACATCCCTGAACTCTGAACCTTAAAAACAATCCAAATACTGTCGTACTAGTAGGTTCTCGCAGCCTCGCAGCTTACCACCCTTCGTTCCCCGCAGACCCGATCTGTGGTTTTTGTTTTGCTGCGACCCTGCAAAAGAGAGGCGCCTGCTGCTTGTTTTGAGTTCCGTCGTCGGCATCGCTTCTCAACAATGCGCACCACGACTGGCTTGGACGTCTTGGTCTTTGTCGTTCGCTGCATGCACTGCTGCTGTCATAGTAACCAATCGGCGATTTCATCGGGGAGAGGCTACTCTGAGCCTCGAGTTCCTGCAACAGATCCCCTTCAGTGCGGACCTTGAAGTGAAGCATCCGAATTGCTCTCGGTTCTGCATATGAACTTCTGTATGTATGTATGCATGTGTGTAGGTAAATATGTAGACGTAATTGATGTAGTACAGATATACAAGTACTAATGTACGTATTTGTTCGTGCACAGCTTCGCCGTCGACCTGACCGGCATTTTCTTGCCTTCAGATTAAAGCGTTTCATGCTGTTGCTGAGGTCAACATGCCCAGGCAGGCTGAAACACCCACAGCAGGAAAGAATCATGCCTGATGGACTTCCGTACATGAGAACAGTGCACTCATTACACAGGGATGATTTCGTCCCCTGCAACTGAAACCTACGAAGAGCACTACTGCGACGGCCAATCTCCCTGCTGCTTTGAAAGTTCGAGGAGACTTCTATGTCACAAGAAACCATGCCCCGTCATATTCAATCGAGACACCTGTAGAATGAGAAATGAAGGTTAGATGGAGCAGCACGGGCATGGACGCCCTCTCATTATTCGTATATATTCGTATGTTCCTCTCCTGAACCTCGCTTCAACACTATGGCATCCTCGTGCTAGTGAAGGCACCTCCGATCCCGCACGGCCTAGAACAAAATGAAATCCGATTTGCAGAAGAGCAGGAGGTCGGGGCACGGGGGGCAGGGCAAAATGAATCTGAAGAGCCAATCAGCCAGAAAGCAGTAAGCCGAATCACTGCTTGCGTCGTGTTGCGACTTAACATGGTTCCATCACTGCCGGCCCTGGACTCTGGGCGTCATGAAAAACAAGCGGGCGCTTACGCGAACGCCATGGTGCAGACCTGCAACTCCTGACTCTCGACACTCTAGCTCCAAGCATAACACTTCAGCGGCTGAAAGCTCCGACGACCAGGCGCACTCTGCACGTGCAGTTCTTGCAATCCGCGTCAAGCCCCCCAAGGCCCTCGCAGATTCATCTCCAACAGTCTTTGCAGCTGGAAGAAGTACTTGTTGAGGAGTGGGAGGTTCGGCCTCAGAGACAGGGTGCTGAAGTATGTGTTTGCTCGAGTGCCAGGCTCCAGGCATGAAGAGGCCTGCCATGCGATAGTTCTCAAGCAGCGATATCAGCATGAGAAACGCCTGTCACATAACGCTTCGTAAGACAATGTGCTTGCAGCATAGACCATGCAAGGGGTGCATCATCCTCACCCATGTACATCAACAAGACCCCACAGATGAAGCCCATTCCCTGACCTTGGCACCGCTGAACAGTCGGGCAGGCTTGCTGTGTCACCTCTAAGGCCTCGGCAGTACCCAACTTCAGCGTTGAACACTGAATATGCTCGCAGTACGTTCAGCAGCTGCTGTTGACCCAAACCTTGCTTATCCTGAGTGGGTGCACCAGCATCGCCGATTGGCGTCGGTCACAAGCCCAGGCGCAGGCGCGATACAGCACATGCTTTGGGAAAGTTCGGTTGATGTCCCGAACCTCGGTGCACGAGAGTTACATAGAGGACGAGAACGAGAGAGAGAGAGAGAGAGAGAGAGAGAAAGAGAAGGAGTGGCTTGATTCAGCTGGCCTATCGCACTTGGACCTGCTTCTGCTAAGAAGTCTGTTGTAATGAACAAATTTGAGCGGCAACTTATGTTGCACTACAGCCGAATTAAGCAGAATTTCACCATCCACGCATCAACAAGGTCTGCAGAGGCGACCAAACGGCGAACCGACGGATATCCGACCGGAGCAGGAACATAAGCTAAGCTCGCAGCGATGTCGCCCTCACATGGTGCTGCTTCAGCCCGTCTCATCTGTTCGTAGATGTCCTTCGCCGTTTTGCCAATCCGCTTCAAACCAACCGTAGCATGGCTGTGACCCGATACGCCACTTCTTTGACATGCGGAAAATGGGGGGGGGGTGTTCACAAGGTCTTCGCAGCTTACCGGCGCGATGTCTGATGTCGCTTCCCGAACCTCTGAGAGCTTCCTCTGGCTGCATAACCGTGTAGTCCGAAAACGCAGGTTTCGTGAATTTCGGCACCCTGCACTAACACAAAATCACAATTTAGTTAATTTCTGAAGTTCACGTAAAGCTCCTTGAGGACAGGCGACTGCTCGGAGCAGCAGAAGGGGCTCGGTAAGAGGGCAGGGGCCAAAAAGGAACTTCGGAAATCTTTGGAAACGTTGCTGGTGCAGGGAGTGTCTCGCTTCAAGGACCCGGAACGGAACCCCAGAAGGCCTTGCAAGGCTACTCGTATGCTCCCTCATCTCTGTTCAACAAACACGAATAGCTTCTTTGCCACGATTCTTTACCGAAGTCGCTCTGAAACAAGTTCGGGGCACCTATGAGAGAAACCAAACTAAAATCATCCCTTCACAGACGCGTCGGCACCAATCTCAGTTTGGAGTGTTGACGCTTCGGGGCCAATTCCTCGGAACCTGTTACAGCAAGCTTATGCATGATGTCCTTACATTCTCTTAAACGTGTGGCACGTGCTTGAGATAGCCGATGCCTTGCTCGAAGGCTGACGTTGATACAGGCCACAGGCCCTAGTTCCAGCCTGCGTCGCAAGCTCGTTCAGGCTCATTCCGATAGTGTAACAAACACAAATCGGAGTTGCGGGCATCACTCGGGTGAAGGAAGCGAGCCGCATCGACTGAAATTGATCCAGGCCGTTGGCGTACAAAGTGATCGCGTGGGTCAACTGTGTGGACATGAAGGAGGGTCGTGGCTAGCACATACAAGTAGGAACGTTTCGGTCCCATCCAAAAGAAGCATCGCCTTCCGATGCAATCGTGCCACACGGGTCCTGCAGTATGTACTTGCCAAACTGCATAGCCAGCTGCGGTGCAGACACTCGAGCTTTTCCTTTCTGTTTAGTTTGCAAAGTTCTGGCTCCACGCGACCATTCGACCGAGACTTCGGAAAAGCAAGAATTCGCTCGAGCTGAAAATAAGGTGGACGCAGACCTGAGACGATGCAGGCGTTGCATGGATAGTTCCCGAGCCCCCAAACTGAGAACACGTACTTATGCCTAGGAAGCCCGCGAACCTTGAGAGCTGAACCCTGAGGCTGCATGCCCCACAGCCTTCCTCAAAGCGAAAACCTATCTAAAGCTGAGGACGCCCCTCCGCTCTGCGCTAGCCGCCCCAGCCCGTGACAACGGTGCTTCGGCGGTTACAGGCTTATGCCTTGAGCAAAAACCAATGCTCTCGAGGGATCACAAGTTGCCACAGCGACCCGACAAGCCAGTTACTGCTCTCTCTGTGGGGTTCACCATGATGAACCCTCCACCCTGCTTCAAGCACAGCCCGTGCCGAACCACTGAGTTTGCAGTTCGGGCTAAGCTCTGCGGGGGCTTACGGCCAGTCCTTCGGGTGCTTGTGCAACAGCTCGCGTGAAAGTGCCAGCTTCTGCCACACCTGAATGCTTTGCAGGCCATCACGTGAAATGTAGCAATGCAGCTGGCGTGGACAAAGGCACCGGCAGAACCACGGAGGAACTCTGGAATGCCTTGCCGGATGAGTTCCTGTTGATGCCGCCGCGGTGCTGACAAGTGTGCACAGGAGCCGAAACAACCTTCGGTAAGGTTCCGGGCCTTGCATTTGTCGGGACATTTGGCTCGGAACCGATGGAAGTCGATGCCTTCGGTCTTCGTTCAGACTTAGCAATCCTAAGCCACAGATGTGGACACCTGCGAGCTGAGGAGCAGATTACTCTCCATTGCTCCAGATGTTCTACAGGATCCAGAAGCTTCGAAACAGCCTCGACTTCTTGCTCATGCTCGGCTTGATTCACTAGAACTCAATTCTGTCAGGCCTTGGTGTTCTTGCGCTCGTCCTGAAAACCAGCAGCGTTTCCTTCGCAACTTCTCAACCTGGCAATCTCGCGTCCTCCTCCTCATCGGGTTCGGTCAGAAGACACAGGTTGCTTATTTGCCGATCGATCATCTGTTTGTCATGAGCCCAGGAACGACACAGATCCACAGCACGACTATACTCAGTGCACTGCGCAGCAAACGGCACGAAAAATCGGCATGTTGCACAGCTAGAGAGCATAGTCAAGGCCGTGCAGTCGTGCAAGGGTGAAACGTCTCTTATTGCTCTGGTGCCGCATCATCTGCCTCCGAAGCGGCCACGAGCTCAACATCATACAACAGGAATTGCAATTGACGTCGTGAGGCCGCTGAGCGAGGCTGCCTTCTTCTCTTCGGATGGCTTTTTCCCTCGGACAGCAACAGCCACGGACATCCAGACGGGAGTTGCAATTGAGTCGCATGCTTGAGACAAGGCTCGCAGGACAGTGCGCAGGACATGATGGCATGCTAAGTGCAGATCCCATCGTGTTGTTCTTGAGCAAATAGTATGCCAACCACTCCACAGGGTTCTCTGGGCGCTCCTTCAGACGACACTAGACAGGCATCCTTGGTCTGAAACGTGCAATCTGGCCTCGGCTACAGCATTCATCCCAGGAAGAAGGGTTGGCACGACATACCTGCCGCCCAGGTATTGGAACGCGATCACCTAGACCTAGACGTCTAGATGTAGACGCGCACGTGTCTAAGTACTGGCGAAGAGGAAGATCGTGCATTCCTGGCGCTGGTCGCTCCTTGTCAGGTACCGTGCCATGTGGATACTGAGCACTCAACAACCACCTGCACTGTAATTCAATGATATTGAGTGGAAACATTCGGTTGCACACCGTCCGTCGTTTCCAGCCCGTCCAATCACGGTGTTGCGCTGAACTTGGCTAACTTCTAGCACTCCATGCAGCTCGATTCAACACAAGCTTGCCGAGTAGGAGTGGGTTCTCTCTCCCGCGCAAACTCGAGCACAGTTTCCGTGAGACTTCATACCGATTCATACCTCTCAGGTCTTCCGTGTCTCCGGCATTGCACGTTGCTACTTCGTGGAATGCACTCTCCGAAGTGCAGCACCGCTGGCCACGTGCGGGAGATGTAACAGAAGTGTGCCATGAGCGCATACTTGCCCTCGTCAAAGCTGTCAACATTACAATTCGGATGCCGAGTCGAATGCCTCCATTGCCAGCTTCTCAGCTGCGAGTCCTTCTCTTGGGTTCGGATAAGCCTGCAGCCACCCAATGCGAGGCCATGCTAGTGGAACTGACATGCATTATGTTAGTTAATGTTAGTTATGTTCGTGACAGGTGACAGGCAAGGACCCAACCGGACAACCCGCATCGCTGCTACACGTGCCAGTCCCGTGAGTTGCAAATTGCCAGGTCCCTCTCCTGGCCTGGGACTGCTTTGGTAACTCCCGCTCTGCCTGACAATTCAAACTCGCGAAGCTTCAGATGGCACTGTGCGAGCACATGCAACTTCGTGCAACCTAGCCGAATGTGCAGGACCTCGGCAGACATGCTGCAGCGGAGATGCCGAGCCTGGTAAGTGTTTGCCGGCTCCACTCTTGAAAAAACCATCAAAATTCGACACTCGCCTGGCCTGAAGCACGCAGCTCGTCAAGCGACACCCCTCTCTCTCTGTGCTCCACTATATAAAGCTGCGAAGGCGACATGGCAGGTTATGAAGGTGCGACCCGCTCAACAACGCATGGCTTGAAAGTACAAAGTACGGACCCGAGAGTGCTTGTGCCATTTTTTTCCGTTGTGGGCTGCGGGAAGCTTGGGGCTGCAAGGCCTTTGCCCGACCTCGGCACCGGTACAAATACTTTATCCATGCTTCCATGACAGCTTCGCAAGCGCATGAGCAACAGCTGCATGCTTGCGCAAACTGGCCGCAAATGACCTAAGTCGCCGTCAAACGTTCCTTCGAGCGGCTCCGGCACCACGTGGGCAATGTCCCAGGGGCCCTGACGAGACTGACAGCATGAAAGCTCTCACCCGATAGACAGAGTGCGCCAGCGACGACCCAAGATCCAGATATGTAATCTTTATCCTAGCAGTCTAAACCGAAACGTTCCCAAGGTGACATTACAGTCGTTCAACAACACTGGGTCACGAATGCAGTGAACAAGGATTTGAAGGGGCTGGATCGAAGAAGGGAAGCGCAGAACTCGACAGAAGCTTCTGCCAGTGTCAAGCCGCCACACAAGTGCCACTAGTGACTAGTGACGTGGCTCAGCCCGAATCGAAACCCTATAAAACACCCTAAACCCGAAACCCTAATTCATCCCTCCGAATGCCTAATCCCCCATCCCGAAACCTAAGCCCCAGCCCCGCTCTCGTGTTGGCACAAGTGTCATGCCCCGACCGCGACGTGCCAGGCCTACACCTCACAGCTTCGCAGCTTACCCCCCGAGCGATCCTTTCCATGCCCAATTTATGCAGGTTACAGGATGCGAGCTTGACTCGGGTTGCTATTTTTACGTAGCACCATTATTAATGTGAATGGGACCCACGAGCAGTCAAACTACGCAGCATAAGCACATACATCCGAAACAGCGGCCCCGATCTTTGAACTTGCTGTGAGCGGTGCTTCCGAAGACCATGCCCTGTTCCAAGCACGTCCGACGGCCGGCCGAAGGCAGGCTGCAGTCTGAGCATCCCAAAAACGCAGAGATTGCCATTTTCGCTCTTGTGTTCACCCTTTTCGCTTCCTGGGATCCCCGTGGTCGTCTCAATGTATCCGGCATTTCCGCCACCATCCTCAAGAAAATGATGGGCAAGGGAGACCGTGCAGTGTGCCGTTGAGTACGAGCATCCACAAAGGTCGTGAATCTTGGAGGCTTGGTCCATACCTGTAAGTTTGGGCCTCTGTGATTTGCCGGACCCAACGGCTCAAAGAACGTGATTCTCTTTGCTCCCACTGATCAACCGTCTACAAAGCACGTGCAATGTGGTTTTCTCCACCTCTATCTTCTCTCGCTCCAGCCTGAATCTCCGTCTTGAGATTTTGCGCAGACAGAAATAGAACAGGACCTCACTCAGTTGGATGTAAAGTTGGCAGCTGAAAAACAAGCTGTAAGCCCGAAGCCCACAAATCCGATGAGGATCCCCGCCAGCACCAGAGAAACCTCGGCTGTTTCAAGATGTTTGATGCATTCAGAAATCCGAGTTGGACGTTCATGATATCCTGGGACATGGACCCCCGACTTGAAATCCAGTGCGATGGCAACCGCGAACAAGAACGGCAGTACACAGGCCTGAGTCAATCTGAACTGCATAAATGCAGAGAAATGCTACAGTAGGTGAAACGAGTGAACAACATCTAGCAGCTTGACAGGTTTCTTCCACTCGCAGGATTTACGTATATTCCAATTTCTGGCCCATGCAACCCGATGCCAGGGCCTCTGCCGTCGATCGACTGCAAAAATGCGGCAATGCAAAGACCTGATTTGATCTGGCTTTCAGGCAGTACCACGGCTGCAATCGATTCACGAGGTTTACGTCCGGCATACTGCACAGCAGACATCTGCTGCAGCACGAGACAATGCTTGCAGCTACGACCAACAGTTTGAAACGCTGTTTTCTCTTTGCCCACCACACGAGTATCATTATCATTGCTCGCTACCATGCCAAACCATTGCAAGTTTTCCCGCCGCGAAAACAATGTTTCGCCAGGCATCCCAATGAAGTGCGCAGGCTTACGGCTAACAGCGAGAGTGGATCGCCTCCATGGCGAAGCTCATGAAAGCGAAGACCTACGGTCACAAATCTTGTGCAGCTGCAATCGTCTGTGGCTCAGCAGGATGCCTCAAGAGGCGTCCGCAGCCTGGATGCCAGTATCATGGCGGACAGCACCGATGCGTTGAGGGCTATGGGTCCACCAGGTCTGGCACGGTGCAACACAAGAACGTCAAGAATGTGCTGCAACAAGCTTGTAAACCTGTCAGATGGGCAGGAACAGCTCCTGCTGGCAGGACCAAACCGATGCTGACGACCCATCCTGCTAGAGCCCGAGGACAAGAAAGGAAGGATTGAGGGCAGCAAGTGAAGCTTCCAAGGCACCGACACTGTAATCGTACAGTATGACATGCAGCAGGAGCAAGCCACAGGCAAAGACGCCAATGGTGTCATCGCCTGGGCGTGGAAGTTCGTCATGTGATCGTTGCGTCAGTAAGTGGGTGTGCGTGTGTGTGTGTGTGGGTTCGTGGAAGGACAGGGTCACGCCTACACAATTTACTTTCATCGGTTTGCAGGGGGACGCAGGGAGGGGCTCTGTCCAACAAAGCTCACTTGCGCACTCCAGGCAAACGTAGCGCCGGGCGGGCGGGACAAGTACAATTCAAGCTGTATAAGGTTCACATTCGAAGTTGCTTACAGCTCTTTCTAGTCTAAGGCAACGTTGAGCCAGTGAACACAATCCCAGACATGTTTCAAACACAGCATGGCCGTGACATGTTTACTGGTTTCTTGTTTGTCCTTTCCTGCTCTTCGGATTGTTCATACTCTGCGAACAGGTGATGACGGTACACATCACTCGCTGTAGCCTGTGCCAGCAAGGTGTCGACACTAGGGATTTGCAACTTTCGGTGGGTCGCAGCCAACTTGCGCTCGAATCCATGGTAATTAATGTCAACTGGCCTGGCAGCTTCAATTCAAGTTCGCCGGCGATGTATTACCGATCCCGTGGATCCAGCTGAGGGCGCAACTCCAGCTTCGCGTTAAGGCTTGAAGCAAAGGAGCCAGAACCTTACAGCTACTACGCTCTTTCGGGACGATTCTGGCAGGCAAACATGGGTCCAAGCTCCAAGTGGGAAGACGATAGCGCAAGCCTGCAAAACCTGCAAGTCTCTCAATCCGGGACTGTACTACAATGCAACGGACATGCCGAGGCCGTGACTTTCAGGACGCCGGTGAAAGGCCGAATGCTGACGCAGAGCCCTGGCGCAACCGTGCGCAGGAGGAGACGAGTCTGAGATCCCGGTTCGATAACAAGGCGGCAGTGCAGAGATGGCAACAAAAGAGCAACCCTCCGACTGCAAAAAGCCAACGGAAGTCGTACTCCAGCTGAGCCTTCCACCAAACCTTGCAGCGCGAGCATCATGTTCTGCGACATGCCTTCAAACACTACCGTGCAAAGGCTTGCACATTGACGAAGATCACGACCAAGCATAATTGCCGGATTATTGACGTGGTACTGCAACAAAGCTCTTGCAGCCTTGGACGGCGCAAGAACGTTTCAGTCTTCCGGGCAATGCCATGGGCTACCACTCTTGTGACAAGGAGGCAACTCGTAGCGGGTAACATGGGCGTTCAAGACAAGGGAGTTGAGAAAGGAATCGTCGACGTAGTTGTCTTCGAAAGGCTGCTGCAAGTACCTGGCACGGCGTCACGATGACAGGTCCAAAAAGGCTAAGACAAGCGGCGAAGCCAGAATTGGCTTCCCCACAGGCTGTGATGGTGCGACGGCTTAGGCTTCTTTTGTCTGTGAGTGTTTTCCAAAACCTGGCTGCTTGGTTTCACAGGCCGCTGAGTGTCGTTGATACATACATTGACATACCTGCCCCAGCACCGATCTTGGTATAATGCATTATTCTGGTAGTTTGTGGACCAGAACCTGGGAGTGTCAATGAGCAGTAGCACAATGTATTCTAAGAGCGAAGGCCTTGAAGTTGGCATGCATGTGATCAACGTCTAACTCGGCGGACTCAGGTCTCAGCTGCGCAGCACGGGAGGCAAGATCTATAGCAAGAGTGAACACACTGCAAATTTCCCTTCGAGCAATTACGGCTGAACTCCACCACCACCGTTGTCTTGTAAGGGTATGGCAGGAAACTCTGAGCATTGTGTGACTTGTGACTCTTCCGAAATCACACGGTAACTTAGCGAACATGCACAGCAGTGGAAGGGGTCCCGGAGTTGATCGTTAGTCATCCAAAGCAACGACTTGACAGCTGACCAAGGCCTCACATAACCGAACTTGGAGTCCAACTCATTGACACTTCAACAAAGCATACCGGTTGCACAAGACCTTACTCCACGGATTGAGAGACGGCCTTGGCGAGGCACTCGCACTGGCGACAGCGGCTCTTTGAGTAGCTGAAAGGTAAGCAGGATGCACATTGTCCATACCGGTGACCTGGGGACCGGGTCCTTGAAGAAGAGCGGCATGAGTCAAGACGACACCCTGACACTGTCGCCCGTAACATGTGGAGAAAAGGCCGACATGTGCGGATGTCTACCTCTACTCCAGAGAGCTCCTTCTGTGCGTTACTGGCTAGGGGACTGCTTCGTGCTGTATCCTGAGCCGTGGCATGAATAGCATGAATGCACAGGATATATTGATCTTCTGCATTGCCGTGAAGACTGTGAACTAGCTCCATCCCTGCGGCTTTTTTGTCAGCATCGCATGCTGCGCATTCGTAGCATGCTGCCATTCTAAGATACCCGCTGCTTCGCTGCTTCGAAGCTTCAGCTTCTGAGCTCCTAGTGGAGGCGACCAGAGCTTTGAGACCAGCCGCAGCTCATTGGTGCAGACGAGCAAATGCGCTATTTTGGATTTTGCTCTTTGCGTTGCAAGTACCATGGAGCACACTCTGCACCTGCCGTCTGGCTTCCTTGCTCTACTTTTTGATTGGGATTTGCAGCCCCACAACGAAATTAGAGGCCGGAAGGCTCAACTCTTTCAAATACCTGCACGCTGGACAGTCGGTAAAGAGGTTTTTAATCACCAAGAAAATCTCAAATGGAAGCCTGGCTTCATTGAGTCGCGGGCTTCTCCGTAGGAGGAACAATATAAATGTAGTAGCTTGGAGTCTGTACCAGTCCTGCACAGGCGCATGAGGCATCTGCGGGAGGAACGGCCACAAGCTTCATTATTTTGGCAATTCTGCTGAGCGCACCTACACGTTGCTTCTCGACAAAATAATCGCAAAGAGCATCATACCTCCCATGTGGATGAAACTGGCAGTAGATGCACGCTGCACAAACTGTTAGGGAACTGCCATATGTCATATGCTCAGCGTATTTAAGCTGCTGGCGCTGCACAGTCACGCCTGCAGTTCACCGGACACACATGTCAGAATTCAAGCAAAAAGACTGGCCTGTCAGCAGCGGAGAAATGCCAGACTGTCGAAAGAGCCCCAGCTCGGTCCATGTGCGCTCGACAGTGGTCGATCTGATGGCCAGAGCACGCAAAACGACAACACGGCAGAATGTGGAATCGTGTACCAAATCTACAGCAGCTTGGCAACTGTGTGGAGAACTCGGTACCTTCGTGCGCTGGTCAATCTGCAGCTTGTTTGTCAAAGACTCCGGACTCTCTTTGCCTGGCCCGATCTCTCATGAGTGCCCCTGTCTTGAGGAGATCGCGGCGTGCCTTTGACAAAGTTGGCTACAATGTTGCAGCAGAACTCACCCATCTTGTAGAGCTTCACTTTGAACTGAGTCGAGACAGCATGAAGGGATGCAAGCGCTCGACGGGGGCCCAGCCTTGGTGTTGTGCTCTGGCCTTAGTGGCTCCGACTCTGCTCTGTGGGCTCCGAAGTCTCCGATCTGCCGATCTGTGGTCGCAGCTCTTCGCCTTTGGAGCCTTGTTTGTCCTTCTTCTTGCCCTTCATTTGCCAGTGATCAGACTGCAGCATGCTGACCTTCTGGTCGCCTCTCGCGGACTTCGCGAGGCTGAGTCTTGGCGCGCACGTCCTTTTTTGGAACGCCTCCCCGAAGGCCACGGCTGCTGCTCAGATTGCACGACACGAGACAAGAGTGAGCTGAGGCATCGCACTCAACTAGACGTGCTCCTGGCACAGCCTCAGAGCTCTGACAGGATTGACGGCGAACATCTGGGCTCTTCACAGTCCCCAACGTCAGAGTTTCGCCAGTGGTCGGAATCCTGGCATGCGCACCATCACATGTGCCGGCGATGCTCCATTCCCTGCACATGCAGGCCCTGCCCGAGGAGGACCTGCGCAGTTCCAAGCATCGCCATGAAGGATGCAGTGTTGCTGTGAGGCTACACCTACATCTGTGCACGTCTCTGCCCCGGTCTAGTTTATGGAGTCTGGACTTGCCGCACTATGCAGGGAGACATAGCTGACACCACGGACCAGGGACGCGTAGCTAATGCCACTGCTCTGCCAAGTTGCTTCAAGTGCACTCTCGACTCCATGATACGTAAATGGGCGCAGCAGGGGGACAGATGCGCGCTGGTGGGCTCCACGCATCCTCTGCTTGTCTGCACCCCGTTGTCAAGCCAATGGGGTAGGGTATGACAAATCACGAGCTGCCCTCCAACTCTTGCAACCTGAGGTTTCGTTCCCTATCTTTGTAGCCTCAGGCCTCAGGACTACTTCCCAACGATATCGATTGCGTGTTTGTATCGTCCATCTTGACTCCTCTACGTTTGAGGGCCACTATCAGGTCATTTTATCACAGGCGACCATGCTCCTGCGCGTAGGTGCTCAAATACGCGCATGACTGGGCTTGTACCGATAGTTACCTCTTGCTTGATGACGGAGCGGACTGACCGTGACAACATGCGCTTTGACCGACACCCAGTTTAGCTGCTGCATGCTGCTGCCACGCCGCGTGGTGTGTAAGCCTCCAGCTGTTCCCTGAACCCGAGAATCCCGCGAGTGTGCCCAATCGTGTGCTGTGCTTCACTTCACTTCGGGTGTCTCCATCTCTAGCTGCGCTTTGCAGCTGCCTGCGAGGCCTCATAGCTGGGAGTTGCCAGGTCCTTCGGCGCGAGTCCATCGATGAATGCGTGTACGTAGTACTCTGCGTAGCTGGTTTCACAGGCCGTGGATGCGTTGCCTTCTTCTTGGCACCTTCCTTTTATTCATTTTCTTCGGTGTGCGCTCTTCTAGGTCTTCGTGGTAAGTCTCTTACTTGCTGGGTGATTCAGAATCCCCGGATGGCTTCACCTTGCTCCCTGGTCGGAGCCGTCTGTAGATGCAGATGTGGCGTACGCTGGTTCGCTGCACCATCGCAAGAGCTGACTGCGTGTGGAATGGAAAAGGTTGCTTTGAGGTCCGCACGCCAGTTTGGACCAGCATGCATTGGGGGCATGCCCGGTCCACCTGGCATGCCCCAGGGGGCTATGCCAGGGGGCCTAAGCTTGGCGGCTTCGTTTCGCTGCGGAGACCTCTCGTTGAGGCTCGTGCGGTGCCCACGGTGGGCGATGGCCCCAAGGCCTACATCACGAGAGTGCGGATGGGGCAACCTGCAACATCTGAACATCACTGAGAGTCCGGCGGCATGCCGGGCATACCCCAGGGTGGCGGTGGCCAAGCTGGCGCGCCTCCACCCCACATGCCCCAAGCCTGAGCCGCACGGCAAGGATCAATTTCACCTGGCAATTTCCGCCCGCAAAATAAAAGCTCTCAGCTCTTGACATCCGGTGGGGCAGCTTGAGCATCTACGTCATCAACGAAGTCGATATTCAGGTACCTGCACAATCAGAGCAGGGACTGCAAGACTTGTAGCCATGTGGTGCCAAACAAGCCAGGGTGGCTGATTCTTCTGCACCTCCAAGCCGTACAGGCTATTCCTGGCGGCGATCGAGCCACTCACCTGGCGCCATCCGGAGAAAACATCCTTGAGATCAGGCGCTTCCCCACGGCATGTTCTACGACCAGTCCGATAGAAACGACTTACTGAAAAAAAAAAACATGCTGCATCCGGCCTCGCCGAATGTAGCGAAGGCACATGTGCGAGCTGGAAGGTATCGCAAGCCGTGTAAGACTTTGCCATACCTCAGATGAAACAGGCTTCTCGCCACACCGTAATAAATTCTCCCATTGCCTTCTCAGGTTCATGCGAGGCCAGGACACTTTCGAGCGACTTTCGAGGTACGAAGTCGTCCACGTTTCCGAGCCACAACGTGGTCGTGGCCTCGAGCTGGAGCGAATGCTCGAGTGTCGCACACGTGCAGAAAGCACCGCTAAGCAGCCTTTCGAGGCGGTGCAAAGGCAACCGTCAGATTCTTGTGATTCCTGAGCTAAGCAGTTGCCCGGGAGTTAGCCGCGAGCACTGATGTCGGCTTTTGCTCTCAGGCTTGGGCTGCTCGCACAGGCGATGCATGGCTGCGGCTGCGGTAGCGCTGCGCAAAGTCACATGCGCCACCGGCTTGCCGAAGCACGTCAGCATCTCCACCTCGACCAGAGCGTCAAATTGAGAGGAAGCCAAAGGCTAGACATGCGCAAGCTTGCAGCAAACGCATCTAGGTTTTGCGGGCTGCGTGCATACGTTTTTGTCAGCCACGGAGCCCAAGGTGATTTGGCAAGAGAGTCTAAGGAAAGTGGGCACAAGCGGGTTGAATGCAAAAGGGCCCTGTGATGCCCTGTGGAGTTTTTGGAGCACCGGTTTCCACAGTCGAAGACTTTTGGTGGTCCTGCAGGGGGAATGAGACTGCTTCCAGAGACAGCGAGCTTCAACGCTGTCCCAACCCTCCCCCATGATTGTGAAACCAAAATTCGCACGGGCCATTGCCGGTAAAGCTACCGCGCATCAACCAGCAGCCACGAATCTGCTAGGAATGCATCCATCCATGTCTTGCATCACTGCTGAAGCAATCGGCCTTCTGCAAGTCGATAAGCTAGTCAATTGAATCATTCCTCTGAATCTACCCGGAGCATCAAGTGACAATACAAAACACCCGCATGTGTGCGCCGCCGTCCCACCACATGATCAAGAAATATTGGCGAAGCTGTGGCAGGCATGCTCTCTGAATCGTCCAACCTTTCGGCATGACTGATGTCGAAGCCCTCCACTAAGCAAGAGCACATCACCCTGAATTGTAGAACCCGATCAAATCGCCACTTCCTGGCATTGGAAGTCTTGTCAGTATGCTGGATTGTTCAAGAAGCTGATGCTGCCAGGATGTAAGCTAGCCCTGTGGTGGAACATGATTCTGCAAGAATGCAGGCCTGCACGATGTCCTTCTGAACAGGTTGCATCAGTCTCCAAATGTTTTCACCTGCGCATGTGTTTCATCGGAGATGTGCATGGTCATGCTTGCAAGGGTGCCTGTCCGCAGCTCTGGTGGGAGCTTTCCAAGAACGAGGTATCGATTATACCTGGAAGCAAATGGCGGATGTGACTGCTTGATTAATCTGTGGACGCTCAAGCTGAGGTGACGGCATGCCCCGACGGGGCATTTTCATGAAATCTTCCAGCTGCTCTTCGAAGCTTAATCCTAGATTCCAGAAGCTGGCGGAGTCTGACAGTCTGAAGCATCTCATGTTTCTCAGGACCCTGCTGTCTGACCATCTGGAAATTGGCTTTGACGGAGGAGTTAGCTTGCTGACCTGGAGGCTCAGCTGTCCAAGCTTGTAGAAAGCCCGCATATCTCATGCTGACGTGCTTATCGCCACTTCTTTTAGCAATCGTCTGCAAACGCTAGATACGAAGAGCAAAGGAAGAGTCCCAGACTACACGAATGCAGCCAAAACAATGCCGAGTTCTGAATGCAAGCAATGAAGGCAGCGGAACCCTCCAGGCAAACTGGTGTTGCTGTGGCAAGTGGTCAGGGCAAAACGATGTACAACAAACGCAAACGTGCATCGTGGTGGAGGGGTGATCATCAAGAAATGGCCAGTTCGCGTTCAACCAGTGCAGTCGGCATGTGTTCTGGGCAACGCATTTTGGGCGCTTGGCTAGGCTTCTTCCAGCCCGAACCTGCACGTTGCTGGACGGAACTTTCGGGACCCTGCAGACCCTTGCGTGTCTGAAGCTTTGCAACGTTTATAGTCTCATGTCAGAGATGTGGGTAGTCTGTACGTCGGCACAACTAGACACAACTAAAGCGAAAGAACTGGAGCACCCGAAAATGAGCATGGACGTGGTTAGGGGTGCCACACCTGAAGTGTCGAACGCCTGTGCAGACATGCCTTCCAGGCCCTGGAAATTCCATCTTTGGGATGCAGCCAGCTCGACAAGCCAGTTCGAAGCATTTTCGACATGTTAGCAGCGATGTGTTCTTCTAGCTCTTGGACAGCTGATGCTGGGCAGGTTGAAAGCATGAATGGAGGCCGACACCAACCACAAGTTCAGTTTGACTCGGCGCACCGCTGAATCTGGTTGTTGGCCACGTGCCTTTTTGGCAGGTGCAGCCTCAACCGCCTTGGTTACTCAGATTGCACGCGGCAGAACACGAGACGCAGTATACCACAGACCTCATCTTCCGTCTTCTTCTTGGGGATGAGTCCCTGCGACAAGACATGTCCGTCGGCACCACCAGCTGAAACAATAACGGTGTGAGCCTCATCCTTCTCCGACTGAAATGCTCGGAGGCCACGTCCTTGCAAAGTTTGCGACAGGCGAAAGGCAGGGTCAGCCATGCGGTGCCGGTCCTTTGTTGTTGCCAGCGCCAGCCCTGCAGAGCGTTCACAGCGCAGAGGCCATCAAAGGCCAGGGCCAGAAGTGACAGCGAGTGAGTTACTGAGTGCCAAGCCCATCTTCGGCGTCTTGCCGGCGGCCCTCGGTGCCGAAGCGGATTTCGGAAACCAGCGGTTTTGGATGCATTGACCCACACCGGCTCATATAAAATGTGTTCAGATCACTTGGTCCGGCGACCTGACTTGAAAAGCGTCACCCATATCGCATGGGCGACTTGAATATCCCAGCCGTCCTCCTTTGCTGCATTGAAACCTCCTAATGCTAAAACCAAATTCAAAATCGCTCATCCGTGTTGTTATCATAACCGCACCTCGCCGCCGGCGCGACTGTTGCACCATGAGAAGAGACAAGCACTCAACTCGCGATACCGGTGCGATCTTCCGGATGTGTCAGTGTGTGTGTGTGTGTCATGTACTGGTTGATCTGTGCGGATGCCAGACAAAATCCACTTACAGATCGGATTGCCAGTGAGCGCATTCTCAGAACAGGAACTCGGCACGGGACGCGTTTCTTGGCCCGGTTGTAATGGTCTGCATCTTGCGGGCCGAACCTTGGCGAACCGGCGATCGCCACAGCCCTGTGAACCTGAAAATAGAGAGCCGCCGAGAGCCCGACTCTATAAGAACGTCCGGACCAAGCGTCAGTTTCTGCTGGGCCTCATAGGCCTCAAGTTAGGATGGATTTCGCTCATCAAGCCACGTCCCGACAGATCAAATTCAGTGCTTTACCTCACTGGTTTTCGAAAACTTCGCCACCACAGTGCCGTCATCTTGCTGAAGGTCCACAACCTTCCACTGGCATGCACACGGGCACCGTGGCAATGCCTGCTGTCAGGCCTCCCCAAAGCGTTCCAACCGGACCTTGAGCTCGTCGAGATCCTGAGTGCGCTGGAACGATCTCGCTGAGCCGCCGAAGGCCGACAACCATCTCCCTTCACTGCCGCGACTGCCACACCCCCTCCTTCCTTCCTTCCTTCCCTCCCTCCTTCCTTCCTTCCTTCCTGACTGACCATTCCGTTGTCTCACCGACCGACTGAGTGGACTGACTGACTGACTGACCGCNNCCTTCCTTCCTTCCCTCCCTCCTTCCGACGGGTCTGAGTCCGGCTGCCCGACCCACGCCTGGGCGCCCACTCACTTCTCTTTGCGGCTTCAGAGAGAAGAGGCCTTGCGGTGCCTGTGGTCGGTTCGTAAGGCGAAGTGCGGTGATCGCAATATCCCCCGACCCCGAACTTTATCGCGCTTCCCCGCCTCACGAACATCGTTCCCCCCCTTGGCAACTGGAAGTTCCGCTACTGTACCTACCGGGCTCCCGACTTTCGGAGGCAGGTTTGGGCCCTGAAAAGCAACACAGCGGCACTACACAATACAGAACTGAGTATAGGGCCGTCCTTTAGCTACAGTAGTGAGGTCGCCCCCCCCCCCCCCCCCGACTCCGCGGGAACAGCTCCTCTACGTTGGCGCTCTGCCACCCCAAATAGCTTGCAACGTTCGTCCCTCCTGTCGTGTTTGTAGTGTTTGCCTTGTCCGGCATTTGTACAGAGCCTGCAAAGCTCTTCATCCTGCGGCGGGTTTTTCCGATCATGCGGCACGAGGCTCTGTCGCCAACTTGGTCTTGGGGATGTCTTCAGCTGCGTCGGTGTTGTCTGTAAATGCTCCTTGTGGTTGTCCCGGCTGATTGTTGCGTTGTTGTGTAGCTGGGATGGCTGAACGCTCTCTGTCCTTCTCTCTCCTCTCATTATCTATATTTCTTCCTGCCTCCCCTCCTTTTGTGTAGGTCCGACCTCAGCGGAACTCTTCCCTTAAGCGCCATCCTTCCTATCTGGTTGTAGCGAGGGGGACGGCAATCTAAAGAGGTTGGTTGTCGCGTTTCGCGACGACCCTGAACTTTAGCCCAAGTCTAGCCCGCGGTAGCCACTCATCCGAACAAAACCACTCAGCTCTCTGTCACTGCACGCATGCGGCTAAACCAAGTCCACAAACGCCACAACATGCACGGGTGGCTTTCGGTCCATCTTCGAAGAAGTGCTTCTTACAACTATCATTGAAGAGGCCAGTAGGCCTCTTATTTACATCACCGCAGATGTGGTCGCGTCCCTTGGCGGGGGCACCCCAATCTTGTGAAGCACAGTCTGACAAGACTACTGGTTTGCACGGAAGGAAACAGACGTGCATTCGTGCTCGGCTGTGTCAGCCTCGCTGGCCCTCTCGTCAATCATCTGGCTCACTGGCCACTCTACGTACTGGCTGCACCAACGAGTCTGTGTCAGAAGTCCACGCACAGCGTACATGGTCCCCCGCTGAAGACCATTCGAAGGTCTCTGGCATATCTAGCTTCCATGGCCGTATCGGCCTGGAGCAACATTTACATGCAGTAGTGACGCAAGGGACGAAAGCAAACTTTTCGACTCATGATGAACCCACGCCCAAATTCTTGTTCATGCGACAGCATCCGCGGGCAAACGATCTCAGGTTTTTGCCGGCGTGTGTCACCGAACTCGGTCGAGCCGAAGCTTGATGGTTAGAGTGTGGGACTGCGCATTCCCGTGCCCAGCCCACCTGGGTTGCATTGTTGACGGACTGGCTTTGGGTCTCAAGACATGCAAAGTACTGCGACATCAGCTGGCGTTGAGAACAGAAGCACTTCGGCAGCCCCAAAAGACGCATGGCAATCAGGCGCAGTCGCAGACACGCGCAGAACCGCAGGTCCAATATTCAAAACAACAGCCGTGCGCTGCAGAGGAAACGAGGAACTAAAGAAGGACACAGTCCGTTCTTTGAAAGAAACTCGTGCAGAGTCTTGGAGTTTGGTTCGGCCATGTTCGGCCAGTGGCTGACCAGCCATTGCTGAAAGCCCTTAGAGTTAAACATACATGATCAGGAACATGCAACGTGTGCCCCTCCAGTACGCGACCCCACGCAGACACAGAGACAAAGACAAAAGAACCACGAGTGAGTGGACTGCCGAGCTGGGTGAATCTGGTGCATAGCTGGTTGGATGACTGGCTGGGTGACTGAGTACTTGACTACGCCAGTCGTGAGACCCCGAATATGAAGAGTGTAAGACCTTAGGCAGCACCACAACAGCTGAGACTTGATGCATGCTGTCACGCACAATGGATTGGTGCAAGGTGTTTCTGGGTGCGGGACGGCTTGCCTCCACCTGCAGGGTCCCACGGTGCATGGGCTACTGGCATGTTCCAACACTTTCGACATTCGGTGTCGCATCCCTGGGCTCAAGAGCATGGTGAGGCCTTGCTTGTCATCCAACTCCTCCTGGTAAAAAGTCGCCAGTGCAAGCCAGACTTCATTTTGCCAAACCTGCTTGTGCCTTCTTCGTGGCAGTCTCCACCTTTTCTTCCACCTGCTGTGTCAAGAACCAATGATTGTTGTTGATGCCTACGAGGCCCTGCTGGCACTGTCAACGCTGGAGACCATGTTGCCCAGCACAGCCTCTTTGACCTCCCCCGTCGCGTTAGCGGCCTCAAGATCTCAGGCACAAGCCGATGAAACACAGGGGGCTCGCCGCGGCTGAAGCTGAACACGACTGGACTTGACTAGCTTGATGGCACGTGGGAATGCGTGATGGCCCCGCATAAACATAATCATCCATGAACGTCGTTATCGTTCCTCTTCCTTATCGTTTTCCATGAGAACTGCGTTATCGTTTTGTTATCGGTTTACTTTCTTCTTCTCGCTTTACCATGGAAAACCATCCGAAACCTAACAAGGACATGCCAATACTAAACCTAAAGGCGCAGGGTTATTATACAATCCCACGTGCACTTCGTCTACCTTGCCTCCTTGTCTGCCGTGTCTATGTCTGCACTGTCGGCAGCGATGTTGATCGCTCCAGCCTGAGCACACGATGCCCGTCGAGGCATCTAGCACGTGGACGTCCTCCCTACACTGGAGGATTGCGCTGTTGAAAGGCCGTGATTGCCACTCCAAGGAATGGTCTACAAGTATACCAACACATCTTGACTGTGGCATCGTATTCATGCAGGCACTGCCTTTGATATGATGACACCAAACAGAAGCAGCGCTGCGCACAGACTTGTGAGGAAGCAACTTGCTTGGACTCATCATCCTCGGACTCGGAGTCTGCCATGACAAGCAGACACCGGAGGTGTCTTCTACCCAGTCTCAATGGCGACGGGCAGCAGACTAAAGCATATAAGATGCAAGATGGACAGATGCCATACTGTATGTCCAAGGTGAGCCAAGGCATCCCTCTTTTGCTTGCAAAGCACATGCCAATAAATTCGCCCCCGTTTGGGGCGATTAAGAACCAGCAAACTGTGAAACGCTTCTGATACTTTTTCAGAAGATCTCGATGCCATTCGAAGACACAAACTGTTGCCCTCACACGAACGAAAGGAGATGCATGAGTTGCATCGTTTGCCTCAGCAAGCCAGCAGACATCAGTGACTGCACCAAGTGTCGGCGATGGCTGGACTATGCAGTCCTCCCCTTGACACCAATCCCCTCTCAATACCCCCCGACAACACAATATCGTAAGCAGACCAAGCCATCCCGCCCTGGTCCAACCAACCATTTCTTTCACAATCTTGCACAACCTCACCTCACCGTTGACCTTACCGACCTAACCTAAGCCAACGTCGAAGTACTAAAGGCAGCAAGCAGTTGACCTTGAGATCTCTAGAGCTGGGGCATGACAGATGTGAACCTTGCTGACAGAAGCAACAGCACGCATAGCAATCATCATTGTCATCAGAAAAGACACAGCATGGCACAGGAACGGAGTTGTGGCCCTCAGAGCAATTCCCTTTCACTGATCAGATTTCTTCTTTGCTGCTGTCCGTTTTCCCCTCTGGCTCTGCTTTCGCCATCTCTACCTGATCAGACACGGGCCCTGACATGTTTGTTGGTGGAGCCCAGCCGTTTGTGCCGCTGCGCACTCCGTGCTTCTGTCTAGTCTGCTCCCAGCACTTACGTTATGAGGCATTGAGCTTCTCGTCTGAAGATTCGGACTATCTACGCTTATGGCGGGGCAGCCCGCGCCACGCAGACATTTCGCACAGTATGTCCCTAGTTTAACGACATGAGCCAAGCTCAACAAAGTCGCTAGCAAAAGGTTCGCAGGTCTGATTTCGACTTGATGCACCACGCCGTGACAGAATATTGTTGGTATCGATGGCTCGCCTCAGTTTTGCACTCCCTTGGAATCTCCACGGTTGTAATGCAGCTGGCAAGCTAGGCACAGCTGAAGACCAACAGCAAGAACGAGGCTGTCATTCATGCAGCTGTCGCTTACTGCCCAGAGTCTTCAAAACTCCAGGAACAGATTTGCAATAACGAATGACACACACACGGAACGATGAGCACGACAGCGGACGAAACAAACCTGGAGCTCGACCTGCTATGTTGCTGCAGCTTTATCCAGACAGTGTGAAGCTCATCACCACTACCTGCACATTCTAGGGCAGCGGCCGCACTGCCTCCACGAAACGGACAGTGGATGTCCTGAACATCTCTAAGATTTGAGCAATGATTTGTCAGAAAGCTCACCAAAGTGGAAAGGTCGGCTTGTCTCTCGGGTTGCAGCGTGACTTCCAAACGTTGAAGTTGCTCGGCGTGAGCAGAGCCCGGCGAGGGGTGCTTGTCCTGAAGCGCGGCAAGGCGGAAAGTTGCCCTTGACTCGCGCGACTTCGTGTCGACCCTGTCAGCTCTCAGCTGCAAACGAAGCAAAGATATAGGCTCGAATGGGTCACGTGGCCTGGCGCCATGGCCTTCGACTGAAAACAATAACACCCCCCTGCTCTGACCACTCTGCGGCTCTGCGATGCTCTGCGCCTCCCTGCATGGCGAAATCCCTTCGAGCGACCTGGCACTAAGCGGAGGCCACCGGTTACAACATCCGTGTAACATGCGGGCACCACTGTACAAAACAGCACTTGTCTGGGAAGAACATCAGGGCTTGATAGTCAGCATCACCATCTGGATCCATTGGATTGAAGACCTGGGTGCAGTTACAACCTTGAACTTTAGCCGAAACAGCGGCGCATCCTCGCCTCGTGCAATTCATTTTCTCGAATGCGCACGAGCGCACGCTCTGCTGGCAAGTCCTGAAATTCAGGTCAGCCACACTACCACATTCCGCGATAACGAGGATGTCCTTGTTGTGCACGGACGAGGCGATGTCGTAGTATGCCGCGATTTCGCTCAGATCGGAGTATGCACGAGCCTGCTTTGTGCTTCTTCGTCTTGTGTTGGGCTTAAGGATTAAGGTGGGAACTGCAGCCTCTCGTTCTCTGTGTCTGTGTCTTGCTCGGCGAAACTCCCACCGAACCTCGCACTGCCTCACACCCTGCACGATCCCCTGTGGTATTGCGCCCCTGCTTTTGTCTGGCAGTGCACCCTCCCCGAACCTGCCGGCTATGGCTATGACGGCTATGAGTTTCTGCTCGCTGTGTAGCGAGCAAAGTTAAGCAGGGGGCGACAAAAGCTAGGGGGAACGGAGACATTGTCTTGGTTGTACTCCAACAGCTTGTTCATCGTATGGTAGCCTTTGCATTGGCATTGTTCCGAACCGCGGTTGCAAGCTGAGCCCCGCTTACTAGATAGATCACTTCAAATCGTCACAACTAGGTCCCTAGGTTCTGCCATTGAGGAAGGTCCTTAAGCCTTAAGCAAGTAAGTCCTTGCAGAATTCAGAATACAAGATCCCGAAGAGACATCGGGTGATGCCAACCATCCATGCCGTACTTTCCGGGTTTGTCCCAAACGCGCTGTCGGAAGGCCTCCCTGACTGTTGCCTCCGTGTTGCCCCTCATGGGCAGTTTTGCAAGGCCCTCCTTGGCAAACCACTTCTCCACCCATGGGTTCGAGGTCTCCTCACTTAAACGTATATTTTGACGTCAGTATGTTAAAGCCGGGTTTGAGGCTCCTCAGTGTGTAGGGTCTGGTGTCCGGCTCCCGGCTTGCATGAACTTAATGCGCTTCCAGGCTATGTCTGTTCGGAATTCGGCACAGTGTGGCTATGGCTGCGGCCTTCGTGTCTGACAGTGCACATGGTGTGGCAAATTGACAATACTCCCTTTCCGCTGCCGCTGCTGAGCTCTGGCAGACCTGGACGAAAACAAAGCAGAAGCCTGGCTTATGAAGAAGCTTTTTCCGTGCTGCCGTCTGATGCGTTCCATGAAATCCAGGCTCGAGGTGAGTCAAGAAAACTCTCGGGTCTCGGAAGCCTACAAGATTGGTGGGACAGAAGCTCCGCCTGGAGCAGAGCTTGAAGTTTTACATGGGCAGTGTTTCACCTGCCGGTTAGTCGGTCTGTCGCTTGTTTAATTCTTAGCCAGAGCGTTGGCATAGTCCACACCCGAAACATCTCAACCATGGCGTTGGTATGGTCGCCATCTCTGAAACATCAGACGGGCAAAGGATGAGGTGTACCTCTCCGCCCATTGGGACCAGCCGTTCCACCTTACGTAAGGCCATCCGAAATATTACCATGAATCTGCTACATTCTGGACCAGGATCCTATTGGATTGCTGTCCAGTCGCTTCTGCAATGCAACGCGACGGGCAGTGCTGGCATTGCTGCGGTGGAAACTGGAATCCCTCAAGACTGGGCACTTTGCAGATCGAAATCATCGTGGTGAGGTGCACGGAAAAGACACGACACGGGCAAGACGGCAGGGAGCTCGATCTTGGGATCAAATATGCACTTTTCAACGGTGACCAAAATCTCCGGATTTTTAAACACCGGAATAGATATCCTATACTACTTCCGTGGCCATCGGGCAAGGGCCGCCAAGTTCTTCTAAGAATGGTGAAAGTACGGGTTTTAAACATACGGAAAATTCTAAATGGAACTAACATACTGCCTCCATGGCTTTGGCGGCCTGGACACCTAGACTGTTTGGGGGGAATTTGGCCGCAAACAAACAGACCGGACAACGAAAGCCAAACATGCACTCCTCGCAGCGCCCCCGGCTAGCCTGGCGGCGGACAAACACTAGAGGATGCAAGCGGACGTATGCCGGGGCCCACCACGGATGGAGTTCGGATGCGTCCCCCCTCTATCGCTGCCCTGCCCCTGCAGCCTATCCTGCCCCCAAGTTTGGGGAGAGCTTCCCGGAAAAAAACAAGAAAATCAGTGAGACAGACCAATGCACTACTTCGTTGTTGCGTTTCAGCTTCATTATACTCGTATTCCTGCAGCAGCTGTTCAATCCAAGACAAACTCCATGTTAACACCCATCAGCCCGCTGCAGTGCTCGTGCCAAAGGTGTCGCAGGTCTATACGGCCTCAGAAAGTACCATGTCTCATGCCAGGCTAGCTGGACCCAAGGTGTGGAGTGCCCTGACTATAGTTAGGACTACCCTGAACAAAGGCTGCACCAAAGCAAAAGCAGTACTTGCTTCAGCCTCCTGCAGGGTGCTCAGCGCTTACAGGTTCAGGTCGGAAGTGCATGTCGCTGCACAAGTAACATGGCCTGAGAGCCATCAAGTGCCCGGGCTCTTGCAACATGCCCCCAACGATTCCAGATAATTTCGAGCGCGTGCGTCGAGCACCTCGGGCGTTTAAAGTGGTATAGTAGGGCCCGGGTTTTCCACATGAGCGGCTGACTAAACCTATGGTTCGACGTAAAGCCCGCGAGAACTCAGGTCGGCCCCTATCGGTTATGCAGGGATCAGCTAGAATATGCCCAGGGTTGACCCCTATCGGTTTTGCAGGGATCAGCTAGCCGAACATAGGTCGGCCCCTATCGGTTTTCATACTAAACCTACTTTTTCACAATCTCGTGTCCACTCTAGTACTGATTACCTCTTCCGGAGGTTTAGTCCGATGCTCACATGGAACGTGTGTTCCACGAAGCCCAAGTTTCAGCGGCGGGTTGGGTTGCCCCGGTCGTCGTGCGGAGTTGCAGCAATTGGCTGGCGGCCATGAATAGAGGTGGTTGTATGTATAGGCCACGGGGGCAACCGTACAAAGCGGCGCCACAAACTAGCGTGGTGCGCAAAGCGATTCGGTGTTTGAGAGATTTTGCGGTAGGCATTGAATGCTCGTCTGGCCCTGCCCTGCATTTCTGTAAGGATGGGCGCGAGAGCTCCGTCAAACGTCAATGCGGCACGGCCCTTCCGG